AATTCATGGAATTTTCCTTGCAATTCACAAAAGTTAGCAAAACCAACATTCTCAAATTCCTTTCCATGGTCACTCCTTATTTTCACTATCTTTGTAGCTTTAAAACTCTTCTCAACAAGCAACCTTTTGGCCAATTTCTGAAAAGCATTGAATGAATCAGATTTCTCACGCAAAAAATCAACCCAAGCATACCTTGAAAAATCATCAACACAAACAAACACATACCTCTTACCTCTCAAACTCTCAATTTGCATAAGACCCATTAGATCCATATAAAGCAATTCCAACACACATGAGATATTGAGATTTGATAAAGCTTTGTGAGATATTCTGGTTTGCTTACCATGTTGACATGGACCACACACATTACCTTTTGGAAGTTCAAGTTTTGGTGGCCCTTTAACTACCTTTTTTTTTTTTTTTTTACAGTCTCACCAAGTCCTTGAAGTTCATGTGATCGAGTTTCTCATGCCACAAGTTTGTTGAATCTATTTTAGAACTGAAACAGGACACACGGTTAGAAAGCAAGTAAAAATTATCATTTGATCTTTTTCCCTCAAGTAGAGAAACACCTTTACCATTCAAGATTTGACATTTGTCCTTTGAGAATCGAACCACAAAATCTTTGTCACGAATTTGACTAATACTAATCAAATTAGCTTTCAAACCATCAACAAATAAGATATCTTTCAAAATAGGAAAAACAGGAAGCACAATTGACCCTTTGCCAATAATTTTACCTTTCTTTCTATCTCCATAAGTGACATATCCACTATCAACCAATTCAAGTTTAGTCAAAAGAGATTTATTATCTATCATATGCCTTGAACAACCGCTGTCTAGATACCAATGATCATTTTGAAATGCAAGCAAAGAAGTATATGACACAAGACAGTTCACATCAGCCTTAGGTTTCCAAACTCTTTTGGAAGAAAAACCATTGTTAGCATTATGATTTACATTAGCAACAAAACTATGGTTTTTAAAAACTTTCTTCAAATAAGCAATGAACCTGAAGCATTTGGGTCTGATATGACCTTTCCTATTACAAAAATGGTAAATAGGAATGAATTTTGATACCTTCATAGCCTGTCTCACAACAATTCCTTCAGTAGGAGTCTCGGTGGCCTTTACGAACTTACTTGCACCAGCTTTCGATGTGCTAGCACAAGGATTGAAACACAAACCATATTGATCTCTGAAAGATTTTCCTTGACCAAACACTTCATCAAGCTTAAGAGAACATGTATTTAACTTATCAATGATAGCCTTAGCCTCATTTATTTTAGCAGTAAGAACAACAATCTTTTTGGACAAGGCTTTTTTTCTTTTGCTTCAACAAAGTAGCATTCTCAATACCAAGAGATTGCAACTTTTTCATAGCCTTTAGCCATTGGTCATACATCTTATCATATGCCTCTTGTTGCTTAGCATAGGTATCAACAATGTAATTTGAAACCTCACTCTTACGATCTTCTTGGTTCACGGTGAAAGCAAGAACATTTTCATGCTCACTCTCACTCAAAGTGGCAGCCATGACTTTACCTTTCTTCTTTTTCAGTGTGTTAGCGCACTCAAATTATATGTGCCCAAAGCCCTCGCATTCAAAACACTTGATACCTTTATTTTTCTTTTCTTTATCTTTTGAAAACTTCCTTGTAAAGGTACCAAGGGTTTGATGGTCATAAGACTTTTTCACAAAAGGTTTTCAGCCATAACCACTATCATGAGGCTTTTTCATGTTTTTCTTTAAATTTTTTGTAAAATTCTTTGTAAGTAAAGCACAATTTTCATCATCCAATGAACTTAAATCACACTCATCAAAAGGATCAGAATTAACCTTATGTTTGAAAGCTAAACCTTTGCTCAGTTTCTGTTTTTCCCAACGTTGTAGATTCAGTGCATAGGTTTAAAAAGAGCCAATGAGTTCATCAATATCCATAGCATCCACATTTTGACATTCTTCAATGGTGGTGACCTTTGACATAAACCTTCAAGGTAAAGAGCAAGACACTTTCCTAACAAGTTCAACATTAGAATATGTTCTTCCCAAAGCAAAACACTCATTAGAAATATCACAAACTCTACCATAAAAGTCAGTTATAGTCTCATCATCATCCATGTTTAGATTTTCAAAAGCAGTAACAAGTCTTCTAAGTTTATTTCTTTTAATGGTACTAATTCCCTCATTCTTGACTTGAAGCCTATCCCAAGCATCTTTAGCAAGATCACAATTAGCTATGACTTTCATTTGGTTCACATTCACAGCATTAAAAAGAGCATGAAAAGCTTTAGAGTTATCATTTGCCAAAGTTATCTCATCAGCAGTCTAACTAGCTATAGGTTTTGGTGTAGACACTTCATTTTCAACAATAACGGGGCTGCACAACCATTCACAACTGTGGACCAAACTCTTTTATCTATAGACTTAAGGAAAGCACGCATCCTAGGTCTCCATGTATAATAGTTAGGTCCTTTTAACAGAGGTGGTCTATGAGCAGATCCTCTTTTAGTGAAAAAAACCCATGATGAAAAATAATCAGACAGATGCTAACACAACAAACAAAAGTGCACACAGACACACAACAGATCTAAAATAAAAACATATCATAGATTAGATTTCGTCTAACTACCAGACCACTCAGATGCACATAAAAATAATCAAAATGGGTAAGGATCAACTGAAGCAACTTATCAGGACATGCTCTGATACCACTTGTTGGGGAGAGAGTTAGATTTTACTCACATAAGAGTGTTGTTACCCATTTTAAGTGCAGCGGAACAATTATTAAGTAGATTAAACATTTCCAAGTTAAACACATCAAACACAAGTGCGAAAAATAAAGAACACAACTATATACATGGTTCGGCTAAATTCACTTTTAGCCTACATCATGTGACCTTGTCCAGATCGAAGCAATCCACTAAGGTAAAAACATATTACAAGATATAGTTCAAAGCTGATCTAATTAGTTACAATAAAAGGATTTCCCTGTTCAACTTTACACTTAGCATCACTCTGTGAATCCTTAACGTGTAGCAACTCCTTGGACCTTCTTCACACCAGGAACCCACTCAAGAATAGCTTGTAAACCACCAAGCTTTAAGTGCTGAAGCACGCACTAGCATCAGCAAAGGAACCACGTTCCAAGAGCCATTAATAACATGTTTGGTATGGTGAAGTTTTGGCACAAAATATGGAAATGAACCTTGAACCTTAAGAGAGAAAAATACTGTAATAGAACCAGAGTACAATGAAACAAAATGTCAAAAATGTCAGATTCATACACACAACAAGGGGCATTATATAATGAAGGATTTCTTGCTCAACAATATAGTGTCAAGTTAGCCAACAAGGGACTGACTAATGTTTGTCCATATAAGGAAAGTTTTCCTTCTTTTAGTTTGGACCACAAAACAAATCGAGAAAAGAACTTTATTTCGTAGGACCACTTAAGGATGCTATGACACATGTAAAAGGTCCTAAAAAGTGAGAGACAAAGATAAATAATATCTTTTTCACTTTTTTAAACATGCAACTCGTGCCGGGTTGCAAATATCTAAAGTGAGAGTGAGAGCACAAACTGTTGTGCACACACACTCTAAATGAAACAAGTCTGACAATCAGCGTGCACGCAGAACATATGTGCACACATACAATTTATAAGTTTGATAAATATGAGTTTGCCACAAAACTTAATAAAAACCCATAACTGATCATGATCTTTCATCAATTAAGAAAGCTAAAAAAAAAAAAAAAAATAAATAAATAAACATTATCTTACTTTGTAACGTTCAAAGGAATAGCCTTTATTGAGTAATCCAATTAAAGGAAGAAGAAAGTATGATAGAAAATGAGAGGAAATGAAAGAAGAGAGAAAATGTGAAAAAATGTTAATACAAATTTTTGTGAAGTTAATATGAATTTAAATAAGGTCAAAAATGTAAATTTCTTATAATATAAAGACTTTTTTATTTTTTTAAAAAGTTTAGTGGGTTGAATTGAACCCACTTGTTTGGGAAAAGCACGTTGAAAAGTAGGATGAAGAATGAAGGGCTGTTGGGGGTAAAGAATTTTACTTAATGATAATGTGTTCATTTAATTGAATGCCTGTCAATGTGATACATGTTGATATTGACTATTGGCGCCTTCGATGAAGTTTAATAGATAAGAGTATCTTAGTGCATGCATGTCTATAACACGTGGGTACGTAAAAAAAAAAAAAAAATTTATTCATTTAGAACTCGTTTGGTATTGTTACAACTTTTAAAATAATATATGTTAAAATCATTTTTTATTTAAAAAATGTTTTTAAAAATGGGTTAGACTATTATAACACAAATTTTTGAAACAAATTTGAACACAAATTCTTAACCTTTGATTCAATGTAATACTATAGATTTAGATGAGAAGTTAAGAGTTTACTTATGTTTCATGCTAATTATATAAGCAATTTTTAAGTCATTGAGTTATTATGAATCAATGTAATATATTTATATAAAATTTTTGTGTTACAATAGCTTGACCCTTTAAAAATACTGAGTTTTAAACGCCTCTCATAAAAATTGAAATCCATGAAGAGAAAAGTATGAGTACCAAGATAATTATACAAATATGGTAGATACCTCTCTTATAGACTAAAAAAAAGATATTTAAGTATAATTAACCCTATAAGTTAAAGAGCTTGCTATCTAATCACAAAGGAGATGTGATTTATAATTATTTTCTAAATAGGGTATTTTGATAAAAAATTATGGAATAAAAAATCTTTAACGGCCTATTAAAATCAAATCCCGAATGGCCCTTAATTTCAATGTGAGAAAATTATGTGCCTTTTACTGCTTATTGTTTGATTTATTGCTTCAAATATATAAAACAAGTGATGTTCCACAGACTTTGGAAGCCTGTTTAACTGCGATTATTAAAAATTAATTAATTGATTAACTAATAGTAAGAAGTCAAATCAATTTAATTAATTAACATCTATTGCTCAAAAAAGTACATGATAATTTATTCGGCATACGTACGTTGATTTTATATATTAATTTTTATAAGTCTACATCATCTATAGCTCCAAAGAGTGCATTATTTAAAAGAAAGCAAATTCACTACATAATCTAATCAAGGAAGCCCAAATAGTTGCTTCACATTATAAGGTCCAGTAACATTTGGTACTCCACTCCATATTAGCTCTGCAATCTGGCGATTTGCCTTCTGAGATGTATGGCCGCCATCAAAGAACAGATAGTCACTTGGATTACTGCATAACTTGTATGAACCTACTCCACAATTCAGTCCATTATATAGTCCACTGCCACAACATGCATTTTTCCCTTCCGTGAACCCTTCAAAACATAATCAAGAACAGAAAATTAAAGTTCAAACTAGACATAAACATATGTAAAAGTTTTAACCGCATATAACTTAATTTACCATATTTTGTAGGGTTATTAATTCGGTAAAGGAGGTTATAGAAGTAGTCCATGTTCGAATATTTGAACCCGGATAATTCTTTGGCCATCTTACTAAGCTGATTAGATAGAGCTTTGTTGTGTAGACTTGCATCCTTTAAGAAATTGGTAACACAAGAGCCATTTGTACTAGGGTGCACTGCTTTTATAACCGGCAAGCAACCTAACGGTCCAACATTCTGGATCGCAAATTTCCTTCCTCCCATATTATATATTTCCTGCAAATCAATACAACAAGTTTCACTACAACATTAATTAAATATACTGTGGGAAATAAAGCCTTCCCTGGCGCAAAGAACTCGTTGGAATAGAACTAAATCGTGATGTATTACGACGCAAGTCATACCTAAAGTTTTACAGATGATATCAAGAATAGAAATTGTTACCTTTAAGCCATTTGTTAAATTGGCCACCACCATGCGCATGTATGCTACTCTTTGAGATTGAGTGGCATTAGGGTAGCTGGACTCATACCGAAAGTAATCGTTGCCTCCGAAGCTGAATAAATACACAGAACTACTTAAAATTTTTGTGGCTTCTTTAGCACCTACTTTCTGTGACATTAAATTTGCCACGTTCTTGAAATAGGCCAACTGTTGTTTAAGATTCAGCTGAAACCAATGGAAAATAAGATGTATTATTTAAAAAAAAAAAAAAAACACAATATACCATGGCAACTAGGGCTACAATCGAGTTGAGCCAAGCTGAATATTTAGAAACTTGAGCTCGATTCGATTGGAATAGTCGAAGCTCGACTCGATTTTAGTTATTAATTATTTTTAGATATATATATATAAATATTAATATAAAATTATAATTAAAATATTATATAATATGTCGAGCTCGAGTAAACTCTCGAGCTACTCGAGTAAAGTATTATAATGCTTGAACTCCGCTCGACACGACACACAAGATACTTGAGCTCATTTGCAAGCGGTTCGGCTCGTTTGCTGGCCAATGACAGCCCTAACTATGAAACTTGTAAATTTACAACTGTACCGCTCTTAGCGCTCTAGGACATATCAGTATGAGTTTTTAATTTAAATGATGCAGAAATGGACCTACAGGAATTTAATTGAAGGTGACATTATTGATGATATGACATCTCTTAAGTTTGTTGCCGACAGTTTATGGAAATTGAAGCCATTAGGAGAATTCAAAATCGTCACCCACTTTCGTTTAGATTTGATACACAAAAGAGAAACCACGAGGAGGCAAACAAAAACCTGAGCCCACTTCAATTGATTAATCGTCAGAACCTTATCTTGAAAGGTAGCTCAAAAATTCAAAAGAAAACAACAGTTTCCTACTTAATAAGAAGCATACCACTCCATTATTGACGTCTAGAACACCACCTGCGGCAGAGGCAAAGTTAGCTCCGCTGGTTAAATCTGCTCCTGGTTGAAGGTATGGAGGATCCACTGAAAGGTTTGCAAATTGGGCTGAAAATTCAATGAGTGAAACAACATTCATCAACATCTTTAACTTTATAAATTAAGTTTAACTAGTAAAGAAATAAACTGACAAAGATCTTACCGATGTAATCAGGAACTATAAGGCCATCTGAAAATCTGCCAGTGGATTTGTTGTTCATGTCTATTCCATAAGGATAAGATGTTGATACGGGTTTCGCTGAATTTTTGATGTACTGGTTGTTGCCTGGATCGAAGAGTGAGTCTCCAAACACAAACAGTAGTTTCTTCGACTGAGCTGCATAGCACCCAATTGAACTGATAGCGATTGCATACAAGACTATGGCACAAAGAATCTTGATGCTTGTCCTTGCCATGGAGTTTCGAACGTAATATATTTCACTTTCGCAATTGTTGCCTTCTCTTTGTTCTTTTTCACTGCCTATTTATGATGGAATACACGCCCTGTCAAGTTTAGTGGTTTACATGTGTGGAAAGAAGTGTGAGACATCTTATATAATATTTATCGTCGTTTTATGAATTTATATTGAATTTCACGTGGTGTTTTGTTTTCTGATCTGAACATCGGTCCACACGCATTATGCAAAATGCTCTTTCAATTTTCCACATGGGTACTTTACTTCTATTATATTTTCTATGAGTAAACAACTTTTTCCCATCCAAGGTTTGCATCAATAATCTCACTCAAAAAATTTCAAAATACTACATTCTCACCCAAAGTTTATATTTTATCAATACTCAAACAATAAGTCTATCCTTACAAAGAAGTCTACAAAGAAGCTTACAAAGTGAAGGAAAAAACAAAAGAAAAACGGAAAAAGAGAAAGAGAGAGAGAGAGAAATGATGAAGATGAAGGGTGGAGATTAACTTTGTATGCCTCCTTTGTAGGCTTCTTTGTAAGACTAGCACTCCTCTCTCGATTGATGTTCGGCGAGTTATCAGGAGCCAAGATAAGAAAAATTTTATAGAGTGGAGGCCAGTAGATTGAATAGTAGTGACCGATTGAATATTTGTCACCAAAATCATTTGAAAATCAACAAAGAACATGATATCCTAGCTTCGCGGTGACAGCAATAGACAAGAAATTAGGTGTCGGAATAAGATGAGTTTTGTAGAGAAGAGATCGAAGGTTCAAAGGGTGGCGATGGAGAGAGTTTTTAGTGTTGGAATCTGTTTTGGGTATTAACGAAATATAAACTTTAGGTGAGAATATAGTATTTTAAAACTTTTTGGGTGAAAAAGTTCATTAAGGCAAACCTTGTGTCAGAAAATGTCCTTTAGCCCATTTTCTACCGCAATTACCGTGAGAGAATTATGTGATGTTTATCACTCATAGTTTGATTTACTTTTATAAATCAATCAATCAATTAACACCTAAACATTTTATCTTCAAAGCACGAGATGACATTTCATCTACCAATGAAGTCACATTCACGGTCTAATTATATATAGAAAAAATTAGGTAAAATACTGAATGAAATTGCCACCTAGGTTCGCCCGTAATTACATTTTTCCCCGTAATTGCATTTTTCCACCCATAAACCTTGAAAAAAACATTTTCTCACCCATCGTCAACCTCCATCAATAGATACCATTTATTACGTGACTTTATAATTTTTAACGAGATTGAATTACAATTTCCAACCCACACTTTATTAAATATATTTTTCACCCCTAGTTTAGTTTATATTAATTTTAGGGTTAATAAATTTAAAAAAGAATTTAAAAATAAAATCAGTTATTAAAATAAAAAATTGAAAAAAAACTAAAAAAAAGTTGGCCTGCACTTGGCCAGAATCGCTAGCTGCGATTTCGACCAACCTTTTTTTTTTTTGTTTTCCAATTTTCTTAATTTTTTATTTTCTGATTTTTCTTACAATTTTTCCTTTTTTTTTTTTTTTGAAATTATATTTTTATATATACAATTTTAATGAAATATAGTTTAGTAATTATAGAAATTGAAGATATGGGTTTAAATGACTAATTTCCAAGTTGGTGAAGGTAATAGTTATATGTTTGTAATTTAGGGGTGTACTAACCTTCTGATATATATTGTGCAAAACGACAAAAAAGTCCTTTTGCTGTTAAAATAACGTTTGAATTTAATGATGGGTGAGAAAAGTAATGAAGGCAAACTTTGGGTGGGAAAATGTATTCACTCAAAATGTTAAAGTCTGCATACATCTATTGTGAAAGATAAAACTAACGAAAAGAGATTATACTTTATTCACTATCGATCACTATCAAGATGGATACCTAATAATAAAATAATCGAATCCAGATGGCTACATACTATATAATATTGATGGTACCACTAGGACATAGGGCACAACACCAACAACTATCGGGCTTTAAAGGACGCCATCGAAGATCTAATCCGAAAGGGCCACCTAAAAGAATTTGTTAAGGAAGTGTCAACTTGCGAAAGTACAAGCGAGCAGAATAACCAGATTCAGCAAGCCTCAACCAACGCCAACAATGATGTTCTGGTAGGCATGATCTACAGGGGTCTAGACATTGCAGGGAGCTCAAGGCGCTCTTGCAAGCAATATGCGTGGGAGGCCAACACATACTCGGTCTCCTGAGAAATGAGTTGTGAACATAAGCCGCCAAAGTGGCTTAGATAAGAGAGCGAGGTGATAGGATTCACTGCGGATGAGTGTGAAGAATCTCCTTGTCACAATCATGATACGATCCTGATCGCAGCAAAGATCAGCAATGCCCGAGTACGTAGGTAATGGTCGATAATGGCAGTGCAACAAATATCATTTTCTTGGGAGCCTTCTGAGAAATGAGGTTCATAGAGCGAGATCTAAGGGCATGTCCATCGTTGCTTTATGGATTCACTAGGGATAGCCTAATCCATAAGGGAATAATTGACCTGCCTGTGACCTTGGGGGAAGAACCTAAGATCAGGACGGTGATGGCAGAATTATTAGTGGTAGACTGCCCAACCACTTACAATGGAGAAGGGGTTAGCAAATTGTTCTAAGATTATTATTGTAAGCTCTCATAGCAAATACAAAACAGTGGACGCAGGCTCAAGAGTGTAACTCACTAAACCACTTTAAAAATTCTTTATGCTATTTTCATTGACGTTTTCAATCACTACTTTGCTGGTTACCCGTAATCACGCACACATCAGTTTTGATTCCATCAAGATCAATCGGATTACTCTAGTTGGTGCAAATCTTGTATCAACATACACCATACCAGTCTACTAATTTGACAATGTGGGACAAATTCAACTTCTAACACTTGCAATATATTTATATTATGGAATCAAATTCAATTTGTGAATAGATGTCTCATGCCTTACAATGAAAAAGTATCAGAGAATTAGAAATGAGATAGAAAACGAATGGACTATAAATTTGAGTGGAGAATACAATTTGTACAAAGAATAGTTAATCTATGGTGTTGATTCATTGAATCAAGTTCTATACCATGATGTATTTCATGTGATGTTTTGAGTAAAGCTCTAACAAGAGACTGAAACAGGAGAAGAAAAAGAAAGAGAGAGAGAGAGAGAAAAGAGAGCTGAATTCTTTACTGATTTAATTGCTTTTTCAAGTTATACAAAAATGCGTTACTGTACACTTTTATAGTGTTTAAATAAGTGAAACAGTACTCTAACTAATCTTTATACTCTAACTGAATGCTTAACAGAAATGTAACTACTAACAGTATTCTTAACAGAAATGTAAATATTAACAGTATTGGCCAATGACACTTTTACCCCTTTACTAACATCTTCCCTTGAACTAAACATGGGAGAACCATTTTTACTTCTTCACTAACATCTTCCCTTGAACTGAACCTGGGAATCTTGAACCATTTGAGTCCATACACTTTTTCTCCTTTACTGACATCTTCCCTTGAACTGAACCTGGGAATCATGGATCAGTTCTGCTCAAAATCCTACTGAACCGAACTGTCAGAAAACTCAGACATTAGTTGAATCAATCTTATGTTTTCCTCTTTTTTCCATTCTTTGTGCTTTTAGCAAAAATAAGGAACCAAACAGTCACTTCAAACATGGACTGATCCAGGTAACCAAAACAGCCTACTTTAAATAGTTACCAGTTCAAATAATCACCAAATCAGTCAGCCACTGCAAAACAATCAACCAACTGAAACACCTAAACTGATTCAGGTAACCAAAACAGCCTACTTCAACCAAGCAAGCTGATACAGCAACTGAAATTCTTCATGCATTACTACATTGAGAACTGCACGTAGTACTATACTGAGAACTACACTGATAAGCAAACATACAACTTCAGTTCAGATCACAAATCTACCATACAACTGAGATTCTTCATGCAGTACTACACTGAGAACTACACTGATAAGCAAACATACATCTTCAAACATACAATTTCAGTTCAGATCACAAATCTACTTGTATGCAGTACTATACTAATGAGCAGTCATTCACCTTAAACAACTTCAAACACCTTCGGTCAGATCACAAACTATCAGAAATCTCAGAATCTTCTCATTATGTTTAGAGCAGTGCAGTCAGATCATAGGAGTAGACATACGCACAACTCCAATTAGACTTCAACCCCATGTAGTGCTACAATTGAGACATTATTTTCTCTGTATTTTCAAGTACTAAAAACTTAGTCAGCTATATCAACAACAACTGTATTATCAGCAGCAGCAGCATTATCATTGGCAGATTTAGCAGTTGTATTACTGGAATAACCAATAACTGTCACTTTGTCCCGAAGAGCCTCAAACTTGGTGGTTGATAATGCTTTGGTGAATATGTCAGCTTTTTGATAATCAGTGGGTACATATTGGACTTTGATATGGTTGGCTGCAACTTGTTCTTGAACATAATGAGCATCCAATTCTATGTGTTTGGTTCTTGCATGAAAAACTGGATTAGAGGCTAAGGATCCAGCACTCTAATTGTCACACCAAATTATAGGTGTAGTGTGAAGAGTCAGTCCCATTTCAGAGAAAAGACTTCTAAACCAGGCTATTTTTGTGGCTCCTTGTGCAAGGGCACGATATTCAGCTTCTGTGGAGGATAGAGCTATAACTCTTTGTTTCCTTGAACTCCACTGAAGCAGATTTGAACCAAGAAATAAACAGTAGCCACTTGTAGACCTTCTGTCTTGGATAAAACTTGCCCAGTCAGCATCGGTAAAGCAGTCTAAGTGAAATCTGCCAATTTTTTGAAATGTAATACCAAAGTCCATAGTCCCTTTGATGTATCTAAGGAGTCTCTTGCAGGCCTGCCAGTGAAGTTGAGTAGGAGCCTTAAGAAACTGACTTAGCTTATTTACTGAATAAGCAATGTCATGTCGAGATAATGTCAAGTATTGCAGGGTCTCGGTTGTACTTCTATACAAGCCTGGTTTGTCAAAACATTCACTATCTTCAAGAGTAAGTTTGTTGCCTATTGCCATAGGAGTGGAACAATGATTGTAGTCCATCATTCCTGTTTTGACTAAA